GGAGAGGAGAGGAGAAGAGAAGAGAAGAGAAGAGAAGAGAAGAGAAGAGAAGAGAAGAGAAGAGAAGAGAAGAGAAGAGAAGAGAAGAGAATTAGAGGCTGCAGCAAAAAAGAGGGGCTTGAAAACCAGTTCCCTCCACACAATGGAGGCAGAACCTTGAGCATATTACTGAACCTACCTGGCCTCTGCTGCCCACTATAGCACTACAAATCCCTACATCTCAGCATGAGGAAAGAACAGTGCACATTGCCCAGCAGATGCCAGATACAAGCTAAAGTGCCAAGTAACATCTGAGCCCCTTTGCATCTGTGGCTGCATCTAAAATCATGAAACCGTGTCATTTCATTTTGTACATGTATCATTAGTGAGTACTGGTGTATTCACAGGAACTCAGTGAAACTGACTTAAGTTCTGAATAAGGATATGCAAAAGAGGAAGAGGAAGAAGAGCTTCCCGGCATCCAGTGAATCATCACAGGCATTCTGACTCACTGACACAGCTGTCAGCATCATGTGCAACAAGAGGCAATCACAGTGTAGAATTGGGTGTGTCTCTCATTTACTCTGGGAAGTGCTTTCATCAATAACAGGGAACCTTTTCTGAGACAATACAGGAACTTAGTGCTTACTTTACTACTTCTATCCCCAATGGATTGCAAGAACACTGGATTGAAAAGGAGTTCCTCCCCAATAGTGGGACTGTGGTAATGATAGGCAGGGCCTTTACTCTTCTGTGGATCTTGACTTTTCTGTAAAAGGGGAAGTCTGAGGGAGATGCTGTACTCTCAGACCATGGAGGTCTCTCCCACACATTTTCAGAGACTCCTGTGGCCAGAGCCCAATCTCTCACAATACACTGCAGTCTCCCCAGTAGGCTCCATCTGCTCTGGCTGAACATCTTCAGGCTCACTCAGGGTTTTCTCCTCTGCTTTGCTCTGTGTGCATATGGGGTGTTAGGTTCACTTCTCCACGTACCTATTTCTTGCAGGCCTGGCAGACAAAATACAAATCTCACCTACCATAACAAGTTCTCTCTGAGCATAGTAGTCTTCAGTTACCTAACAATCCTTTCAAACAGTGTTTAAAATGCCTTTACTGAACATCCTGAACTAAACCCAAGACCATTTCTATATTCTGTATACATCCCAACACAATGGGGCCTATCCTGGATAAATCTTTGTTTTCATACATATCGCCTGGCCATTGCTGAAAGAGTAAGGGAAGATATAACCAGTTAGGGTGGTACATTGACTAGAATTCATTAGATACTCAAAGCTAATTTTCTTTCCTTTCCTCCATCCCTTGGTTTCTCTGGTTTTAGTGACCAGTCTTTAACCAAAAGGTGATTTACTGGGAGATGAAACCTAGGACAGGCTATAAGCCTAACAGGACCTTAGGTAAGTCATAATTCCTCCACACCCAGACAGTTCCAAATGAAGAACACATACTTGTTCTAATCTCTTACATCAGATAAATAAAATGCATTAATACGTGAGACAGACTCTCTTCTGCAGAGCTACTAGCATTATTACTTTTGGTAGGTCTTAGTTTCCAAAAGAACAACCTTAAAACAGAACAAGAGATGGCAAGACATCGGTGTTGATGGGTGATTTGATGATGATTGTGAAAGTTCCACTCCTGTTGCAGACTAGAATGTCAGAAAGCTGCATGACTGTTCCTTAGGGTAAAAAAGCACAGATCCTCAGATCAGGAAGCCTTCTGTTTGGAGTGCAGTCACCTGGGGCAATCCTCATCTTCGACGCTTGTCTACTCACTAAGTCAAACTGTTCTACAGGCCCACCTGGGGAAACTTGTGGGCCTCAGAATCTGGGTTCATCTATTTGAGAGTGTGAACAACTAGTTTAAAAAAATCCTGACATTAAAACCTCTCAATTTCTCATAAAGGAGTTTAATTGTGACAATCTCTTATATATTGAAGTAAGTCTGCCTAAAAGGTACAAAAGAAGAGAAAATATGGTCTCCCAAATAAAGTGGGATCTTCTTTGTTAGATGTTTGTGGCATGAGCTGAAGTCACCCTAATATAATATAGGAATATAATACAATATGAAGACAAAATATTATACACTGAACAACCTACATAATGTTGCAAAAGAAAAAATAAAGAACACCACTGGCATGAGTGATTTGCAAAAATGTGTTTTACAAGAAAAATATTTTTCCACGAGCAATAAAGAAGCATCCAACATTACAGGTAACAAGGTAGAGGTTGCTTCAGAATTATCCCTGAAGGAGTTCTACTTTTCTTTTCTTTCAGAACATAATTATCCAGATAAATAGGCAGGCAGGGTAGTGTGTGCAGTGAAAATGAGAGGTGTGTGTTATGTTCATGTGTGTGTGCATACTGCATTAGGGTATGTCATGTCTTTAATATCTCTAATATTAGTTTACAAAGCCAATTAAAAAAACACTTATCCAAAATAGATCACTACTCTAACAAGCAATCCTGTCAAAATGTTTTCTTATATACTTTGTTAAGCATTTAGCAACATTTAGCTTTATTAATTTATATAAATATTTTTTTATAATTTGTAATATAGTTCCTAATTGGCTAGGAATTCAATACATGCTGATATATGCATATAAATATAAAATTTGCACTGAAATCTCTCAACAACACCCTATACTTCTTGATATGTTTTAGAAGCGATAGGATAAGGAGAAAAGAAGTGATTCTCATTACAAAGACAGATCCTCTTAAAAATCAAAGCTATTCTGTTCTGAGCACCCACAAGCTACTAACGTATCCTGGTACCAGGTTTTAAAAGCTCTGAGTCTAAAAGCACAGCAATGGCTGATTGGCTTAAAAACAGCATGTGAGAACCAGGGAGCGTACTGATGATACGTGGCTGGCAACATTCCAGAGTGCTTTAGAACTCAAAATCCTTCAGCTACCATCTCATCCTACACCATTCTTAGGTTTATCCTACAGATCAGGATACTGGTGTTAACATATAGAAAAGAACTCAGTAGCATACTACCTGTATGTATTCTAAACCAGTCAAATCCTTTAGCTCATACCTTATTTGTGGATGTTAAAGATACATAATAGAATCTTCCTGAAGATGGACATTTTACACAGCTTTCTTGGAATGTTTTCTGAAATTCATTAGTAATAATTTGCTCATTTTCTAAGATCTCTAACACTAAAAGTAGAATTAAAACAAACAAACAAAACAGAATGTTTTTTACAGTCCCAGTTCAATTTCCCAAGAAAACTGAAAAGAGACAACAAGAAAGTGGACAAAGACATGATCATAAAAACAATGCTTCACTGGCATGAAAGCCACAGCAAACAGTTCTTACAAATAAGATAAAACTTATCACCTTGCCATTTTACTAACATTAATAAGTTACAACTAAAAAAGTAAAATGAAGTTTTTGAAAAATTGCTGCTACCATACAATGGATTATTTAACAAACAAAATAAAACAAGCCTCACAGCATTTCAGTTATCCTGGAGTTCTTATAGTTGAACCTTTCCCATAAATCACTTCCTAAGATAAGAATACTAAGGGTTGTTTAGAAGTTTGTATATGTTTTAATATTCATGCCTATAGAAAGACAATGCTGATTACCCAGAAACACTACCTCTGGTCACCTAAACCAAATGCATGTTACTATTTAGTAACATATCTTGTAAGCAGTAAAATGCTTCTAAACAAGGTAGGTCCATATCTATTTAAATTTGAAGTTGAAACCAAGGGAAAACAAACGACAACACCAGGTATTCATTTGTTTCAGCCAAATATATTAATACTTAAATACAAATCCAACAGTATTGAATCAAACACCAACCATTCTTAATCATGGTTTAAGTCTAATAACCAAAATAAAAAATGTAATGCCTGCCGGGTAGTAGTGGTGGATGCCTTTAATCCCAGCACTTGGGAGGCAGAAACAGGGAGATCTCTGTGAGTTCAAAGCAATCCTGGTCTACAAGAGCTAGTTCCAGGACAGACTCCAAAGCTACAGAGAAACCCTGTCTCGAAAAACAAACAAAACAAAACAAATAAAAAAGATTAATGCCACACAAAATACATCTCACAAACTATTCAATACATAGTTCTAAGCTTTAAACTTTTTGATGGTGTTAATCAAGTTCCCAGGAAAGGAGAACACTGGAACTCTCCTTGGCATAGAGATGCTTTAAACCATGGCTTAACAGACAGAATGTTAAGAATGGCAGGACTTTTATTTTCTATAGCAGGTTTATTGATGCCCTTTTTATTTTTAATAATAAAGTTTGAAAAATCTGACACTACCTGTCCACATAGAAGGGGAAACAAAACTTGGTCAAAGTCTGTAGAACTTCCTGTGAAGAGAAAGAGAGATAATTTATACATCTAATGGGACCAATAAATCTAATATTAATCACAGAACACCATCTAGCAACTTTACCCTAAAGAAAGAAAGAGACAGATGAAGAAGTATGTGTTTTATCAATTACACAGGAGGAGTACCAGGCAGTCAATCATGAGAAATAATAAACATGATCAAACTTCATTAAAAATGAAAAATTAATCAAGAATCACACATGGGCAAGCAGCAGGAGCCATGCAGGAAAGCTCCGAAGGGAGGGAGGTGCTTGGGTTGCCGAGTGTTAACACCCCTCCAGGGACCATCTCCAGCCTGACCATATGGATCAGAGTGAATAACACTGAGCCACATGGGTTTGGCCTGGCAGGGCCGCTGTTGCTGGCACTGTTTTTGACTGTTACCTAGGAACAGAGGGGGCCAGGATTAGACAACGTTTCTCAGCATCAATAGGCCAAATTACAGCAAAACAGAAAGCCAACTTGAAGATAATTGTTTATGAACATTCTTAACTTCATCTTCAGAGTTTAAAACTTCATTTAGTTGCTGTATCAAGAAGTTATTTGTGGCATAAATAAATTTTGGAAATCAAACTGTGACCATTGTTACTGGTAAAAGTCATTAGTATAATTAGACATACTTACCTGTTTGTAACTTATGAAAATCAAAGCAAACTATAAGTGTGAATAAATGTTTTTACAAATGCTGAGGCACATCATGGCAAGCACTTATTCAGGACAAAAGTACAGGAAGTAGTAGCATCTCAAAAATTTATTTATAAAAGACAATGTTCTTACATTAAGGCAAGAACATTGGAACATGTAGCATAATACAGGGTGGGGAACTTTTCCTAATAGACACATTTTATATACACATATGTGCACACAGCTAACTACAAATACAAGTAATTAACTATTTATTCTTTCAAGACTTTCATACATCTTGTCTTAATCTGACCACAGGCTTGGACAGCCCACAGTTGGTGCTCAATCATAAGGTCACTGACCAGTGTTATAAATTTTTAAAAAGTACTCCTTTCATGAATTTGATTTTCGTTCTAACTATTTAAAATCCCAACCTCAAGACAAAATGAATAACACATTTTTGGGGGAGGTGGGGATCATTGGAAGCTGGTTCAAATTCAAACAAACCTGCCTGTTGCAAATACTAATCCAAGTGATAAATTAAAGATCAGTTTACAAATGTAGTGCTTTTCTAACCAATAATAATGAATTATCAATGCTAACTGAATTGATGCTTCTCGCTTCATTTATTTTTAAAACCAGTTCTATCATTCAAGAATTAAATTGCATCAATTTAATAATCCACTCAGTGAAGCAGAAAGCACATTGACTTGTTGTGCCAGAGTGTATTCTACCAACAAAATTCAATTGAGCATATATCCTAATTTTAATATCATCTTGGACTGGGTCTAGCTATATAGCAGCACTGTTAAGGCATGCCTTGAAAGAGTAATGAAAGATAAGAGCATCTGCATGTTCTGAGAACATTACCTATCAATTGGACATTCTATGTGGCATTCAGCAGTCTACCTACTGCGGTTTTAAAATAGTAGTGTGTAGCTAAAATAAAGCATCATAAAAGGATCCACTTCTCAGTATATATTATTGTCTTGCAAATGCTTGGAAAGACACTGCATAAAACATTCATTTTAATGTCATTATTAAATACATTATCCATATACAAAACTCCCATGACATCATAAAGCAAACAATTTCTTCTATTCCAAATAATACCAGAAAGCATATCTCAATTTAATACACACATATCTCAATTTAATACACACTTTTTAAAAGTCAGTACCATTTGCTCACTCATTGCCAACACCAGCAGCTACAAAGACAGTTATCTTTTACTCCTCAAAAGTTTCAGGTGCAGAAAGTGCTTCTCTGCTCTATGCTGGAGTTGTACTGGCAAAAGGCCTCAAAGAGTATTGAAAGAAAGGACTCCCATGGCTACTAGAAAGCATTGTGCTCTACAGCAGAGTCAAAGGAATCGAATATGCCCAACTTATTACTCACTACAATATAAAAACTACTTACCACTTTCTTAGGTCAAGAGTAATGACCAACCATGAACTTAACTACCAAATAATAGTAGAACAAATATGGAAATTACCATTATAGGCTAAATATAACCTATCTCCCACAAGCTTTCCTTTCCATCTAAAAAAAAAAGTAGTAGGGCAGGGGAGATAAGGGAAGAGGGGATGTAGGAAAATGCAGGCACATGTTTGCATATTACCGTTTGTTTCTTGGGATTTGAGATGCCACAAGTGCTTGATATTTCAATTTAAGTCAAACAAGATGGTGGTGTGCTGTCAAAGGGGAAAAATGAGCATCTATCTGGTGAAAGGCATAATCACATGATTTCAATCAGAACTAAAATACCTACTTCTGAGTATGGGGAGGAGGTGACAAGAAAGAAGAGAAACAAGCAATGTCTTTTGTAAATAAAAGTTGCCAAAATAAACCAGTTTTCTGCATACTGATCCTTTCATCATATATAAATATTCAGTTACCTTATCCTCTTTGTCCAGAGAAAAACACATTTATTCAAATATGGAAAGACCACTCTCTAAGGGAGGGAGAGTAAAACCTGATTTGAATATTTTTTGAGCCTTCTTAGTTATTACAGAGTATTTCAGAATCTTCCAACACTAATTTTACTGGGGAAAACAATCAATGACTGGATACCAACCCCCTTTTCTCTCAAGAACCATGTCTGGCTAGGGAGCTTGGTTTGTAGATGTCAATTTCACTGTTTTATTCCCCACACAAGCTCTTTCAGTCAGCCAGCCTCAGCTCAGCCTCCATTCCTGCCACATAAAGGGGATCCTGGAAAGGCAGGGCAGCTGATGAAATGTAAACGATCTCATTGCAAAAGTGGGGGTTGGGAGGAATGTGTGCCTGTTCTCTAGATCAATTCCCAAGTTTATATTTTCACAAATCTTTTTATGTACAGTCTGATTTTTTTTAAAATTTTAATGAGAAAAAACAGTGAATCTATAGTATCCAGTCACTGCAGTTAAAGTGCGGGGCATGAACTAGATCCCAGGAGGGAACCAGTCCACCATGTCACCACTGGCTTTAGGACATTCGCCACCTGGTTCCATGTCCCCAGGTTCCAACTCTTTTCATAATCAAAACACTGCTGACATTATAAATCCCAGATGGATTTTCTAAAATCCCTTCCAATCAATATATCCAACACATAACTTATTGGAGACAATACAGAGCTCATTGACTAAGGTGAGTTTGGTAGCAAAGTTTTCAAACTAAATGAGACAAAAATACAGCATACAATTCAGCAGACAATTTATGAAACAATTTCCAAAATGCTTTTCTTTTTAACATATATATGAGATTTCATGTGGGAAGAAATAGAAACTGGGGAGGGGGAGTAAAAAGGGGGATAGCCACACAATCTTTTCAGTTATGCATATATTAAATAGCCAGCTGTACAGGAACAGAAAAGAAGCAGCCACAAAGTCTGCCCACCAGGAGACAACCGCCAAGGCAAGATAAAGCAAAAGAAGTCAGAAATGAACTCAGGGTTCACCTTGGTCCACTCTAGGTTCATCTTACTTGGTGTAAAGTTTTACCTCTACCTAGAAAGTCCATCAAGGGAATTTTCCCCACTGTGAAGAAAGACGGTATAATTCCAGCACTGAGATATTCTCTTTAAAATGCAGTCAAGTTTTATATCTCTAATGCCCAGTATAGACTACTACCTGGGAGTAAAACTTTGAAGACTAAATTTAATGACTTTATCTGGGCCTGTTAATCAAGAGAAGGTTTGACTATGTCACTCTAAATCTGGGCCTTGAAGAAGGGGTGCAGGTAATCCCACAACAAACATCCTTTGCTAAGTCAAAGACTTTGTTTTCAGTGCTTCAATGGCAGATGAAAACAGAAGTCAGACATAGACATACATCCCCACAAATAAGTGCCATCTGAAGGATAAAAGTAAAGCTCACTTTATAGTGTCTCCTGAAAGTTCAGAACACTGAGAGATGAGGCAGAGTCTTCATAATTCAAAGTTGGGGGGTGTAAAAAAAATCTAAGAAATACTATGAATAAATGAATATACTTTAAAATATGCAAAACTACAATTAGCTTTTTAGTGCATCCTAAAAGCTGACAGAGTACTTGATAATTTTCCTTTGGGGTCAGGGAGATGGAGAAGAAAACAGTCAGTGGGAAAACAGACGGAGGTGGGAGTAAAAGAGAGGAGGGCAGCTGGAGGAGGGGGAGATGGAGGAGGGGGAGATGGGGGAGAGGAGGGCAGCCAGTGGAGGGGGAGATGGAGGAGAGGAGGGCAGCAGGAGGAGGGGAGATGGAGGA